ATTTTATTTTTACATTATAGTATTTATATAAATTAATATATCATTATTATTAACATATTTTTTATTATAGTAGTAATAAAAATTATTTTTTGTTAAATAGTTTGTCAATTTCTATAAAACATATGAAACATGACATTCCTCCGAGGATTAATTTAAGAACCTGTTCAGTTTGTTTAAATATATAACTAATGATTTTAACAGATATATTATTTGCTTTATTTTCAGAATCAGAGTAAAAATGATATTGTTCTCAGCAAAAAGCTATCATATCTATTACGTCACAGTTCTATAAAGGAAGGTTTAAATATTAAACCAAATGGCTTTGTTGTAGTCAGTGAGCTATTGAATAAATTGCACCATTATACCATTAACGATATCAAGAGAATAGTAGAGAATAATAATAAACAGAGATTTACCCTAGATACGATTAATGGTGTTTTAGAGATCAAAGCAAATCAGGGTCATTCTATATCTAAGATAAGCGAATTGACTTTGAAAGTACTTGATAGTGCAGAATTTGATATAATTCACGGAACTTATTTTAAATATTGGACAACAATAAAAACTGAAGGTTTATCACGTATGAGAAGAAATCATATTCACTTTGCTAAAGGACTAAATTTCATTAACGGCTTGCGTCAAAGCGCAGAACTTTTTATTTATATTAATTTTGAGAAGGCAAAGAAAGACGGTTTAATATTTCTTGAATCTGAAAATGGTGTTATTCTCTGCGCTGGAGATTTAAAAGGATTTATTGAAACAAAATATTTCTTAAAAGTGACTACTAAACATGATCAAGCATTAAACTTTAATTGAAAATATTGATTTTTTGAACTTTTTATTTTTAACATATTGATGTTAAGTAACTGACATTTACAAGGAAGTAAGAGAAGGAGAGACAAATCATTATAATATAATAAATCAGCAATTATTTAAACAGCTGTACATACTGTGTATTTAATAATGAATTCTAAATCATCTGCTGATGAAATGAAATCACGGGAACATAAATTTCGAGAAGAAGATCAGTATTATTTACCAGGAAAATCACTTTGCATTGCTCCTTTACCAAAAACTATCACACGAGAGGATTTAGCGAAATTCCTTCGCCAGTTTGGACCAGTCAAAAGGGAACGTTTTGGACGGAATTCTTTATGGATTGAGTACTATGATAGGTAATTTATAAGTATTTATGATAAAAAACAAATAATAAAATTATAATCGTAGTTAATTTTGCTAGTATATGCAATGATTCATATAGATATATTAAAAATGTATTATTTCTCTTTCTTGAATCTTGGTAAAGAAGATTTACACATCCTACATTATGACAAATATATTTATATTCCATATTTAGAAAAGAGAAATAACAAAAATATATTCTCTTAATGTCTAGAAGAATATAGACACTAATGTTTAAATCACTGTATGTATATGAAATATTTTACTTATATTACCTTGTAATATTGCAGTTCACCTGTTAATATTTTAATGAGCAAGTCAAATTGGTTTCCAAATGAAGAATTATGTTTGAGAAGGATTAAGAAAAATAGAGAAAACTCTGGTTTTGATAGAGGTAAAAATATACTACAAATTTCTCTTAAAACATGCTTATTATTCCTATTTTTCTTATGAACATGTAATATAAGTTTGTTTATTGTTTCACTAGGAAAAAAAGCTAATCATGCACCAAATAAACCTGAGGAAGAAGAAGATCCAATAAGTTATGATCGTATAAAGGGTGTTATTGAAAGTGAAGTGACATTTGACAACCAATTAACAGCACTTTTGAATACAATACAGCTTACTGAATTTGAGTTAATAACACGATATGATGTCATTTGCACTCATTTGAATGAAATATTCAGGCCAATTTTTCCGGAATGTCGAACATATAAATTTGGTTCGACAGTGGCTGGATTAAGTTTTAAAGAGAGTGATTTGGATATCTATATGTATGTTGGCGAGATCGGTAAGAAATATTATTTTACTATCATATATATATATCGCAATATCGTCATACATGTTTAAATAATATTTCCATTTTGTTCAAGGTTTACCACCGTTTTGTCATAAACCGGATATTCCACCATATATGCTAACGCTAACAATATTCAAAAGAGTAAGAAGAATCATGTACAGCATGAAATCTGTCTTTTCCAATATAATATCAATCCCTAAAGCGAAAACACCTATTATAAAGTTTCGTTACATACCGACTAATGTCTCCTGCGATATCTCTTTCAAGAATGGCCTAGGTATTTATAAAAGTAATTTTCTACGTTATTGTGCATTACGCGATCCTCGATTACAACCATTAATGCTACTCATCAAGTATTGGGCGAGGCATTTTGGAATTTCCGGTATCGGAAGAATCTCTAGTTATGGATTAGTGTGTTTGATTATTTTTTATCTTCAACAAGAATCAGTCAATCTTCTTCCGCCTTTACTAGATCTTCAAAAAACTTGTGTTCCACATATCATAAACGGATGGCAAGTAAATTTTAATGAAAATACTGTATTACCACCCATCAGCAATAGCAGTAGTATTGCAGAACTATTTCACGATTTCTTCTCCTTTTATGCCACGTTTCACTTTCATTCATGCGTGATATGTTTGTTGGATGGAAAAACATATTCAACAGTTGACTTTACACAAATAGACAAGTTACCTGATTATATGGACAGATACAAAACTTGCGTCATGGAGAATAGTGCCAAGAAATTAGATATTCACAAACCGTTATGCCTTCAAGATCCAATTGAACTTAATCAGAATACAGCTGCAATTACATCAGATCGCGCATTAATAGCATTCCAACAATGTTGCGTGTTTAGCGCCGAAATCTGTGCAGCCGCTAAAGCAAATAATTACGAAAATGTATTGAAAACATTATTTAGTACGGTACCTCCTCAATTAATACCGGCGAAGAAAAGGAAAACGAAATTTAAAAGTACGATACGGGCTGGTCGTTTTCTTCATGCTGGATTGCCGGACGATTTCGACACACGTACAGACATCTCCAATAAGGAACAGTATAAGAAAGATAATTGGTATTTCATGATGTTTAATCTAATAAGAGATATCTTCGAAATGATCTTTAAACTACAAGTCGAGATACTTGTTGATCAAGAAACAAAGCAACAAAAAGTTGAAGTATTATCTGATGTACATACTAGGAATCAACAGAAGATAACGTTCCACTGCACAGGCAATAAATGTGTATGGTATAATAGAAAGAAAAATAATAGAACTCTATTGGATGTTCAATTAAGTCTTCTGGAGAAAGAAGCTATTATGTCCGACAAGGTGATGGAACAATTGAAGGATGATACGAATAACATCAAGCTCGATTTTATATGTACATTAGAAAAGATGGAAAATCCTGTGTCAGTAATTATAATCCTAAACGATGAGGACAGTCAGAATCACATCTTTCGACAATTTGAATGTTTTGTGAACAGTTGGATACCAAAAATAATACAGAAAACATTACTGCATATGTTACAGTTCAAAAAGACTTACAGCCAATTGCTGTACCACAAGAAACCGTGATGGTTCTGTGTATGTATATGTGTACACATCACATATGTTTCTGGCATATATGGACCAAAAATTAATACTACTTTGTATAATTTGATCAATGTAAATTTATTTTTGTAATAACATTACTAGAAGTCATTTGCAATATATGTTCACAAATATATGTTGCCTAATTAGAATATATATATACATATATATTCCAGATTCAAAAAAAATGTATAAATTCAAAGAGTGTGATTTTAATAAATAAGTATAAATAATACATCAATCATGTAAGAGGGCTAAATCTTCTTTTCTGATATTCATATATACTGCAAATATATATATATACTTATAATTATTATTTATTGTATACATGTATGATTTATGAATTCATACATATTTGCGAGCTATACTTCTTATGTCTTATACTATAACTAAATTATTAAATAAACACGATTTTTTACAAGTACAAAATGTCTATTATGTCATAATTAAGGAACCAAGTGCAGATTTTATTAGACAATGTATATTTGAAATTGTTCAATCTATTCCGCAATAAATTTTTTATCCTGCTTTTTTTTATAATATATGAGAATTTGCACTAAGACTATTTGTAGTAGTCTACAATAATTATATGTATTATATTACACATGTAATGTTATATATTACATATATATAACATTACATGTGTATATATATAATAATTCTGTACTTTTTATCTTTCTCTTTTAATATCTTATAGGTATATGTCTATTTAATTTTAAATGCAGAAAGTTGAACAGAGAGAGAAAGAATGAAACACATATAAAAAAGTATATATGTATATATTCTCCACCTCGGTTCAGTTCCATTCAGTTCGTTGTTCGTTCCAGTACGAAACAGTAATAGAGAGATTGTTAAATATATTTCAGTGTAAAATTTGACAACAGTTAAAAAAAAATGATACACGGAATTCTTTATAATGCACATTCGTCGTTAGTAATAAATTTAAGGAAAAATAAGCATTATAAAAAATCTGTACACGATAACGAATGTGAAAGCTCGTATACGATCATACAAGATATTTGAGATCTAATCAAAAGTTAGGTTAGATGAACAATATGGTGGATTAGAGAGAAAGAGGGGACTTTTTCGTCGGACACACACGCATTCTTCGAATTAAGGGTATTGTTTCAGTCGGGCATTCACAATTGTATTCAAGCAAATCTGCATCTTTATCAATTTGTCCTTCTATCGGCCGTCTTATCGTCGACACGTGCAATTTCCGATTATGTGAAAGTTGCAATAGTATCTCAGTTCCTTGCAACATTTTTTTCACGGGTATGCATCGGAGACAAAACAGAAACCACGAAGTTTTAACCTTCGACTAAATTCCGATTAACCTAATCGGCGATTAAGTCACGAGAATTATCTGCAACAACAAAAAATTTCTAACCATGTGCATTATTCGTCTTTCCTAATTTAATCTTTTTTCCTATATAAAATGTCAAATAATAAAAAATAAATAAATATTTCTACCTCTGTTAAAAGGGGTTGCAGATGATTTTATAAGTTAATCGCTAAGGTCAAATTAATCAAAGTTTGATTAAAGTGGTCTTCTTATAGCGTCTTCCATTGGGAAAAGCTCATTTGCTTAAAAGTGCTTAAAGTGCTTAAAGTACATTTCATTGGTAATATTAATGAGCATGTTCTGAGTGCTGCCCATTTCATTGTGAGTGCAAACTACTCTCAGTATGCACTGAGAGCATTTTGCACTCTCAATGAAATTGGCAGCACTCAGAATATGCTCATTAATATTACCAACGAAATATGCTTCAAGCATTCAGTGCTGCAAATTTTTCCCAATGGAAGACGCTATTAATCTAATAGCACAAGCAAACTGTTGATTAATTTTTTAACTAGAATTGATTAGGCATATTTACATTCAACATCTATGCGTATTGAATTGTTGCACCTTTTAATTACTTACCAATATTATAAAATTAACAAAAATTTATATGCTGTCAGAATTGAGATATTTCTAAATGTTAAAAATTGCAATGTTATATTGAATCTTAATGAACATGTTAATGCAAAATAACTTTGTTACGTTACAGACATATTCAAGTATAGATAAAGTATAGAGATTATAGAATACCATATTATATGTGATAAACATTCTAGCCATATAATTGAAATAGTACAGTTCTGCCAATTACGTCATACTATTTGCTCGAACATATTATGTCACACTTTCTATCAGAATTGAATTGAAACAAATTGCGGTAATGATGTAAATACAAGCAGAATAGTTGAGTTTCGTGTAAATTTCAAAAGTTGGTATAATTAAAAGGATATCTTATATTGATTACTTTAGATTATTGAAGTAATCCTACGAGTTGGTGAGCAACATGAACAATACAAATGATAAAGAAGATGACAATCCAACGGATGTAAAGCAAAGTGAAAAAATGAAAACTACTAGCAAGATATATGTGAAACAACCTCATGAGATACTCAAGGATTCCGCGTTGAAAAATACCAATGATGACGTGCAACGTGCAATCGAGGGTCTTAAGGAGATACCAGATGAAGAATTGCAAGAGTTCCTTGATGATGAAGACTTTATGGAAGGATTGGACGTCGTTGATGCATGGGAAGGAGATGAAGAGAGAAATCGCGAGAATGATCAAGATAAGACAAATGCTGTGGAACGAAAAGAGAGACGATCCTCTAGGTAGTGTCATTAGTGTAAATGGTTCTTATACTATTATATTGTTATTACATTGTATATATATATGTATATCTATGTATATGTATATATACATAGTGTGTAATAACGATATAATATATATACATATATATACAGTGTTATTGTATGATATGTTTTTATATACAAAAGAGTCCAGTTGTTACAAGAGAATTTTATGTGACTTTTGTTAATTTGAATTAATTATATTAATTTATATTATAGAAATGTATTACATCCTAATTTTAGCAATTTAATTATAAGTTACAAAACCATATTATCAAACAATTTGTACATTTTGCTGTGTATATTATTGTGTATCTATTATATTTAATAAGAAAACTTATGATAGGATTAACTATTTCTTTGGTAAACGAATGATGGCAAGAGTAATTATAGGGAACGCCATCGTCCTGAGCCTAAAGGATCTTACGGCCGTGTAAAGCCGAAGAAAGAAGAAAGGAAAGAAGAGAGGAAACGCGAGGAGATTCGTCGAGACCCTTTGAAAAGCACGAAGGATATCGAACGGGATAAGATACGAACGAAGAGAGATACTGAGAGTAAACTCCTTGCCGAAAAGGAGAAGGCGATTAAGCATTTGCTTGATTCGGACAATGTAGTCCCACCTGGTACGGAAGCTGAAGCCATTCAGAGCCTCACGGAGGAACAGAATAGGGAACGAGCGCAGCGCGAAGCGCAACGAAGCAGGGAACATCGCAGGAGCAAATCGTTTGATCGTTATTCCAGACCGAGTCCAGTACGACGTAGAACTCCTGATAGACTTCGGCCAAGTCCCCATCGAAGAAGAAGTCCTTTTGTAGCAAGTCCGGAACGTCGTAGAAGCCCTTACCGAACGAGCGCGGAGAGACATAGAAGTCCTCACCGATACAGCCCAGGCAGACGAAAAAATTCACCGCGATACTTTTCCGATCGAAGAAGTCCCGTCATGTTAAGTCCAGATCGACGAAGAAGTCCTAGACGACTTAGCGGAGAACGACGATCCAGCGTAGATAGAAAGTGGAGCGTTGAACGATCGCGAAGGAGACGCACTGAATGGATACATGAACGGTGAGGAAAATAATTCTTAATTTTTGTTAAAAGATTTTCAGATGCTTTCAATTCTTTCTGATTCGAGAAAGAGGTTTAGAAAAATCCACTAACCATTTCAAAATAATTGTTCTTTTTTTGCGCTATGTGTCTGTATGTGTGTGTGTGCGTATATATGCGTGTGCGTGCGGGCGCGTACTATAAGAATCACTTTGTACAAAAGTACAAATACGTTTTATTAGTATTTACGTGATAGTTATAATTTCTCACGCAAGCATTTTGCATTAAAAATTTTATATTCTTATTGTAATGTGTATAGAGATATACACAGATATATCTATTAAGAATGTAATAGAGACTACATCTTAGTAACTTTATTTTAACACATCGCAATTGTAACTGCTTTAAATTGTTAAGCCGGAGAAGTCGATCTCATGATCGGAGGAGCCGCAGTACGGAACGTCTGAGAAGACGCTCGAGCCGTTCGCCAGCAAGTAGACGATACAGTCCCCGTCGCCGAAGTCGCACACGTACGCGCAGCAGATCGGTGGAGAAGCGCACGAGGAAGCGTTCACCCTTCATCAACGAACTGGCGAGACAACTAAGAAACGAAGCGATGAAGCCGACTGGTGTGAGCAGCAGTGGATACCCAGTGCCACCCGCGACGATGGAAGGAATTGCACCACTGCTTAATCCACCTGTGTATCAACAAGAAGCGGAACCACGACCACCACCACCACCTCCATCAGCTGTAGCTCCTTCAACGTACATGCATCAACCAGGTCCACATGCACCGCCACTGCCGCCATCATCCATGTTACCTATCCCAAGTGGATCGCCGTTTATAAATTTCGAACCCATGCCGGGTGTACCGCCAATGAATTTCGAACCCATGCCGCCGCCAGCGTCGTCGCACATCCTACCTCCAGCCGATTATTCCTCCGGTCCCGTCATGTACAATCAGCCGAATGTCGTACCACCACCCCCGCCATCGGCGATCTGTCCATCTTTACTCCCTGCGCCGGTACCCTCGCCACAACCCGTACCCGCACCGGTGATGGATCATACACAGATACCATATAATCCTTCGCACACTATGTCCTCTGTCCGACGATCGCCGATTCATCAATTTGAATCTTTGAGCAAATCTTCAAATCACTCAACTGCACCGTCCACGTCGTCGCAGAATTACGCGGAACGTGGATCGGCAACATCGTACACTGAATTTCATGCACCGCACGAGGAACGAATGAAAACACCCGAACCACCGGTCATCTCAAAACCAAAAGTAATTTTAATATGTATAATAGCGATGAATATTTTGATTTTGTGTTAAATTCCATGAGAAGCGTTTATCGCTACGTCAAAATTAATGGATATTAATTTATTTTGATTCACCGTATGTGGGTTACACTTATTTCAATTATATGTGAATAACATGAAGAAAAAATAGATTAATATTTTTTATGAATTGATCTTACAGCCAAAAACCAGCTTATCCAGTCTACTAGAAGCGTCTGTTTCAGCCAAAGGTGCGAGTATGTTTTTACTTTTTACGTGTTTGATTGTAAGCATTTGTAAAAGAACTTTGTATACAATCCACTTTTCGTAATAATCGATCACAAAAAAATATGTGATCCTATTTGTTAAATAATACTAATTTTTTATATTTTTTTATTATGTTCTCTAGATCCGTCTAATATACCGGTACTATACCCAGGTAAGAATCTTGACATTTTTAATAAAGTGTTTATAATATATATCGCGCGCTTCGTGTATGTGAAAGTTGCGTGATATGTCTATTTAATATATAATCGAAGTGTACTCTTTTATATAAAGACACTTGTGTGCCTCATATTTTATGATTTACAATGTGCGTGAAGATTACAAGAAGCATGACATACATCGTATCTTTATAAGCATTATGGCATGCACATCATTTGGGTGTTGATTCTACGCGACTCTGTTTTCTTTTCACTAATAGGATTCAAGCCTGAAATAATGCGGCATTGCGAACAAGCGCTGTGCCAGCTTCCACTTGAGGATCCACGTTTAAAGATGAAGGGCAGATTTTTCTATGATCGCAACGAAGAAGACCATACGAAAAATGACGCCGAGGACCATACATCGAATTCGATACTTCTTCAGAAAGGCAAAACCAAGATATTTTGGGAAGAGAGCAACGTGGAACAACAGATACCGATTCCGAAATCGACAACTCAAATGCATCAGAAGATCTGTCAAACAGATGAATTGGAAACGGAAACGAAGGGCGTGCAAGTATATGTCACCATGGTTAATGTCGAAACACAGGTTTATTCGCACGATCTGCCGCAAATAAAGGAAGAAAAGCGACCGATAATGGATCGTCTTGATTGGAACGTACGGGAAACATACGAATATGCTCCCAAGTTTCATGAAGTAGAGGATCTCAGATGGAGTCTAAGTAATTCTTCGCAGAGACGTTCTTGGAACAGGCAAACGTCTCCTTCTAGAAGATCCGCCGACGAGCACGAACGTGTAGATTCCATGGATCATGGATCTAGAGATCATGCGTCTAGAAGCCTGAGATTAGAATCTCCTGTTAGAAGTAGAGATGATTTCTCCGCTCATAATGCACGTGATCATTATAATCATAACAGATATTCACCAGATTATCATAGACGTTCTATGGAACGCGACGATTTCCATGACAGAAGGAGCGATCATAGCCGCGGAGAGAGCCCGATGGAATTGGAAGAATCCGACGATGAGTTAGTGGATGACCATACATTCCAAAGAGAACACGATTGGCATGGAAGAGGGAAGAGTTTAAGAGGCAAAAGTCATGTTTTGAGAGGAAAGCACTTGGGAGGAAGACCTTATCGGAGTCGTGGAAGCTTTCGGGGCAAGTTTTAAGACTATTAATTATACGTACATCGAATAGTACATCATGTCAACAATGATATAGACAACTTCAATGACTTTCATGTTAATAATCTATATGTATATTGAAAGCTACAAGGAATATTATGTTAAACATGTGATCGCAATACCATAAACTGTTATTCTGTGATACTATGTACACGGAACTTAATTAATATCAAAAAAGTGAAAAGAGATAAATATTTAAGCATGAATTCATAGTGAGTTCAAAATGAAGAGAACTATAAAATATGCTCAAACATTTCTGTATAAGTGTGTTTAACCGTCAAAGGATAGTGCATATCACGCCGATAATGGAAAATAGTGCTCGAGAAAAAAAAAACATCACATTGTCATCTCCTTTTTTACGTTGCAAGAATTCACAATAATATTATATCTTGTAACATGTATCATAATATTGTAATATTGCATATTACGCAATGATAAATACTGTTCGATTATTGTCATTTTTATTGTATATTTATATATGCAAAACTGGCTTTAATATGACAGTTTAATAAAAAAAAGTATATATTCAGTAGAAAAATAAACAAATCTTATAAACACACACACACACACACAGAGTAAAAACATGACATATGCTAATGTAATAAAGATTTACAGCAAAAATAATAAAGATTATAAATGGAATGTATTGTGAAATTGTGAACAAGTATATGCGAATTTTTTTTGTGAAAATAATTTTATTATAGGATTATTCTTTTTATCACAGGTCACCATTATCTGTCGTTAGAACTTGGATGTTCCATTGGCCACATCTGTTTTTGTGGTTGTAATAACTCTATTGTAGAATAGTTATATATATGCGCGGAAAGTCAAATTGCATTATGTAGAGAAATATATGTGTTTACCGGACCAAATTTAAAGTTATTTTTAAATTGTGTATCACTTTATTAACACTTTTTTTTTGTTATTGAGGACCAAACTAGAACTATATACGTGCTGCGCGAGTGCTGTATCGCTCAAGTATTGCGTCATATTGTGCAGTTTGTACAATTTTGTCTCGTAACGATTATCTCGTAAGCTTTTGGTTTTTTCTTTTTAATTTTTGACGAATTTCACTCATACTCGATATATCCTTTGTTATATACATTATGATTTTCGTAAGGGAAACACGTTTTATCGAGTGCCATCTCATCTCGCGAACTAATAGTATCGTTGTAATAATTACGTTTACTTGTTACAAGTATACGTGCACTTGTTAATAAAATTCCATCATTTAACAGTGTATATATTTTTTTATTGTATAGTTTTGTTGCCATTAAGTAACTAATATAGAGATATGCATTTATTACGATAACTGTTTAGATTACGACCTATTGACAACCTATTGAAAAAGTGAGAAAAATTTAGTTCACTCTCGTATTCTGAGTAATTTATATATATAATGTTTCTTTTACAAAATTGTTTTATCCACGCATCCACTTAAATTTAATAGCCGATTTTATAAGTAAGGCTTTTGCAAATGAGGCTATTTATAAATATCTTTGGTATTTCTTTCCTCATTTATAATTGTATGTCCTTTTAAAAGATTATTACTAAGAGCAGTCATTTATTTTCAAAGAATTTAGAGTATAATTATAAATATATAATAAATTTGTAAAATTGTTATATAAATATAATTTTACGAATTTGTAATTTTTCCTCCGTTAATTGTTTTACTTGTACCAGTTTAATTATATTTTTATATGATATATATGTATATATATATTTACTTACATTATGCTTACATTACAGTGTATTTATGTCCAATAAATATACATGAATTATAAAGCCATCAATTACTACAATAAATAAATAAACGCGCAAACAGAAATATACATAGATCAATACAATTATTAATTGATTTGTATATCTGATGTATACCATATAATAAAATAGAAACTGTTTTCACACAATTCAGTGATTATTTAATTGCGCATATCCGTCAATATTTTGAAAAAAATAATTTCATACTTTTATATATAAACTCAACATAAATTCTTAACGCATTCTTTCAAAGTTAGTTGCACTTAAATTGCATTCTTTTAATTTTCAGATACGCAATCGCGTTGATTGCTCTAACAAGTAATTTATGTTGCAATTTAACGCGCTTTTCATTTATGAATCGTCCAATTCATCGATCAAAGATTGCTTGCAAATAATTCCTTTGTCAGCCTTGCTTCAGATGTAAAAACCTTATCACTCTGTGTAATTCTTAATGACTTTAAGAGAAATCTTGAGAGGATGCATATGTCGATTGCTACATCCCAAATCTATTTTCCTAATATAATATGGCTAGTGATTCATCCTCAATTAGTTCTTTCCAAGTATTTTCTTCTCGATAAAGTCGCAGTTTCCTCAGCCTCGGGATAGATGAATAAGAAATACATGGAAACTCAAAAATTTAAGATGCAATATAGATTTTTCATATATATGATCAAAAAGTGTGACAATTTAATTTCTCGTAAAATTCGGTTTTACGTCGATAAATTAAAACGTTCGGCATCTCATTTCGTTCGATATTTATGTTTATTCTGTCCAGATATCGATTGAAAATCACTCTAGTTATCGCGGGGGCGACGCGGCGCGTAGGGCCGGTCGTGCGCGCCGAGGAGGAGGCGACATCTGGCGGGAATCGAGCGCATTCGCTGTTGTCAAGCGGTGCGACATCGCGTTGGCAGACCTGCCGGCGTGACTGCGTCTGCGCGGCACTCGAAGGCTGCGCCGAGCCGAGATACGCGCGCGCTATCTCTCTCTCTCCGCCACGACGGTGGCGCCCGAGTGCGCCGCCTGCCGGCCGATTCGCGAATCATTCGGCATGGATCCAGCTCCATGTTCGCCCGTGAAAGCGATGCGGTGTCCCCGCGGTTAGGACGTTGTACGATTCTCGTGTGTGCTGCGAGAACGTCGCGCGTTACGCGTCGCGGGTTCGTCGTGATCGGTGCTCATTCGTGCACGTTCGCGAAACAGTGGTGCGTCGAACGACCTCGTCTCGTGTGTCTCAGTGTGGCGTGGCGGCACAGCAACAGCAGCAGTAGCGGTAGTAGTACTAACAGTAGCAGCGGCGGCGGCGGCAACGGCAACAATCTTAACTCGGTGCAGATCCTACGAGGCATCCGCGGGGGACCTCGTGGAAGCCGATCACGGCTGCGACGCGAGCTGGCGAGGAGGAGCACTCGTCGGTGCGTGTCGGCGGCGGTGGCGACGGCGACGGCAGCAGCGACGGCGCGTGCTGCGAGGACGAGGTGAATGCACGGCGGCCGCGGTGTGTGCCAGTGGTGTGCGCGCTCGTCGCCCGTGGAAACCCGCCAAAACCCGCGGCCGCGAACAACCACCACCGTCACCGTCAACAGTAACAGCAACAGTAGCAGTATCATCATCATCATCATCATCATCATCATCATCGACAAAAACAACGACGTCGGCGGGAGGAGCTTCGTCTTGGGTGGCTACAAAAATCCCGTGAGCAACAAAAACAATAACAACAAATACGTCAACGGCATTGTTATTAACGGCAGCATCCGTCGCGCTGGTACTGTAGCGCGATATCGACGACATTGTTATCGTGCCGTCTCGTCGACGTTGTTTCGACGCGTCAGGGCGTCGCGCCGTTTCTCTCGCGACGCCGTCGCCGTCGCCGGTCACGGCTAGTTTCGGCTGGTGGTGGTGGCGGTGGAGAGAGAGGAAGGTCGCGCTCGTGTGACGGCGACAACGGTGACAACGACGGCGGCGACTACTGCCGTGCTCGCACATCGTTGGCGGCGACAGCGGCGGCGGTCTGTTATTATTTTGCCGCGGTGCTTTTGACCCTACGTACACCGGGCGAGTTCATTGCGACGCTGTCGCGGGGGGTGTCAGCCGCTAGTATACGTCCACACCGCGCTCTCCACCACCGCGTATCCTCGGTTGCCTCATCCTGCTTCTCCCCCCCCCTCCTCCTCCTCCTCCATCCGTCTGGCGGCAGCGCCGGCGTCGACGGAGGCGGCGGGCGCCTCGTGATCGTCGAGCGCGAGGAAGAACGGCGGAAGATCGGGGCGCGTCCTTAAGGCGCCCGGTCGGTCCCGCGGGGTCCGGGGACCCCTCTAGTCTCGCGAGGAGGCGGTAGAGGAAGATCCGTTTGCGTAAAGAACGGAGAATCGATCGCGTCGCACGGTCGTGTCGCGTGGAAAATCGCGAGTGACGCGATCGCGCGCGCGAACCACGTGATAACGTCACCGCACGCCAATAGCCAGTAGAGTCAGTCAGTGATCCACGGGATCGCGCGTCTATTGCACGCGGTCACAACCATAACCTGAAAGACCGGGCGTGCAGCGAATCGCTTCCTCAAACAAGGAGGATAGCGCGCGCGCGCTTCGCTTCCCAACTGTCAAATCTACTCGAACGCGAGAAACATCGGGATCATTTGGTCGTTATTTTCTCAACGTTTCGTAGCACGGGCTTTAATTAGTGTATGTGTCTCGAGCCAAAGGAACATCCTCGTGGATCGTTTCTCGGAGCGCGAAATACCAATATCGATCCGATATTTTTTTTTTTTTATTAGCGGCAGGAGAGAGGACGCGGGTGTCCACGTGTGTGCCGTGATCATCGATCGTCAGTTACCATCATCAATCATCGCTATCATCACCGACCCGCCGCACGTTCCGATCGACTCCCGCGAGAAAAAAAGAGAGAGAGAGAGAGACGCGTCGACGAGTTTCACGGTCGCGATCCGATTACGATCGGCGAAAGGAAAGGCAGCAACGAGCGAGGGAGTTATTTGGCGCGCGCGCGCGCGCGCGCTCGCGTATGTTGTGCGAACGAAGCCGCGCGATCGGGACTCGCGTCGCACTTCGCTTCGTTGGCGTCGTGTGTCGGTGGCCGCGCGCGTCGCGTCGCGTCCCGTCCCGTCCCGTCCCGTCATTTTCGCGCTCCGTTCGGCGAGGAAAATGCGTTCGCGCGCAAACCAGCGCACGTCATGCTCGCAGTGACAGCTCGGCGGTAAGGTGATTTTTCTCCCGCAGTGTTCCGTCTTCTTTCACGTACACGCGCAAGCATCTCGGGGATATACATATATATCCGGTTTTCATTTCCCCCTCCACACTGTCTGTGAAGTGAAGTGCGCGACTGTTAAATCTGTGAAACGTACGTGGTGTGTGTGTCGTATATATAATATATAACATACACACACATATAATATATATATATCTGTATCATCCAGTGTGCCCGTTTGTGCGAGTTTTCATTCTCGTCGTGTGCCGAGTTTTTCCCCTTTCTCGAGATTCTACTGTCGCCTGTACCTTCTCTCTCCTATTCACGGCATTGTCGGCGTGTTTTCGGGGATCGTGCGAAGAAAAAGGTCCACCTGATAAGGGAAAACGCGTTCCCGCCTGTGCAAAAAAGGAATCGCATCGAAGGTACGCACATCGATTCTTTTTGCTCACCGCCGAGTTTTTGTTTAAGGTTAGATTCAACCGCTCGCGTCGCGCCAGTCGATCGAACGGTCGAAACGGAAGGTAAGCGCGTGTCGTCGGGTCGCGCATTGTTTACGTGTGCGTCGTAAACTTGCGCGTTTATTTTCCGTCCGCGTGTGCTACGCCGTTTCGAAATGTACGGAGATACGTTGGAGGTGGAGAGATGCGTTTTGAGCGAAGCTTGTATTCGTCTGATCCGCGAATCTTTTCGTGACGATGGACCTAACCTCAAATCTCGTCGTAAGTATTAGCGCTAGTTCTCTGTTGCCGCGCCGCTGCCCGTCGAACAGCTGTTTAAGCGGCGCCGTGAGAGAAAACTCTTTTTTTTTTTTTTTTTTCGTCGACTTTACGCTCTTTCTCTCTCTT